AGCTGGGTAATGAAACGTTTGCAAGAAAAGAACCAAGCTCAGAGAACCCCAAGGACGCCGCAGTTCTAATTCTTGCTTCACGTCTCTGTCGTTTTTAATCCTGCAAAAAAAAAAGATTTCTCAATAAAAATTATATCTATAAAAGAAAGAATTCAGTGGGCACAAGCCAGATAAGATTTTCTTCCACGCATGCTTTGCTCAGATGTAGACCAGTGGTAGCTCCACAGAGGAGGGGTGTGTATGTTTTCAATGTGCTCTGCTTACGCTCAGAAGTATTCCTTTTTTATTAAAATCGTTCTGATTGCAGCTGTATGGAGGATCTGTTTCTGAAATGCTACAAAATTCCCCCGTGCAGCTGATGCTTCTTGCGTGGCAAGGTTTGCTATGCGCTCTGCTAAAGCTCAGGAGCACCCTCTCCGCCTTTTTCCTTTTCTTTTTTCTTTCTTCCGTGGTCTCTTCCCAAACCAAGCCCCTCACCTTTGATAGCCTGGCAATTCCAAAACCCTGAAGTTTAATCTTGGGGCAGTGTTTGGAAGGAGGGCCCCAGGGTGGTGGGAAGAATGCCTCGCTGTGCCCCCCGAGGACAGAATAGCTGGCACCCAACTCTCCTTCTGCAGTTCCTGGCCTCGGGGGATGATGCGAGCCAGTCTGTGAAAAATGCCAAGGTCACCGCAGGACTGGGGGAGAGGCAGATAAAAGTCTGTTCCCAGAGTCCCTTCACATCTCTGTTCTAGCTGGCAACACCTAAACTTTGCCAGCCTTCTGTACCCACCTGTGCCAAATCCCAGAGCCCTTGGCTCCATCCTGGTTCCGTCTCATCCCGGTGCCATGTTCCGCCTGTTACTCCTGAGCCTCTTGCTGGCCGGGGTCCCCCCCGGGGGGACCTCTGATTCTGGGAAGGGAGACCCTGCAAGAGAGCAGGCCCTTGAATTTTCTGCCGTGACTTTCAACGAAAGGTAAGCAGACCCCTGATTTCCCCCCAGCCCCACCCAAAGGTTGGGGAGCCTGGAAAGAGGCAGTGCCGTGGAGCGGTTGGCTGGAAGGAGCTGGGTTCAAATCCCCCAAACGCATGGGTGACTTCAAAGGGCTGTCGCAAGGACAGACTCCCCTCCCACCCTTGAGTGGGGAGACAAGCAACATCCATTGAACTGGGGAGGGGGGAATTGGGGGTAGAAGAAACGGATCAGCTCGCCCAGAGCCTTTAACAGGGGAAGACCAAGGGGCGTAACTGTTTTTCTGGATTTTTTGGGAACGTTTGGAAACTGGTGTGAGTCGGGGTAGAGTCGGCGGTGTCACGATGAATAAGAAGAGGAGAGCAAGGGGTGGGTACGTTTTCAAAGGGATTCCTTGCGGGGCCCAAGGGATTTGGGACGCTGCCCCTACGCCAGACTACACCTCCCATCATGCAGAGTTGGGGGGAGTCAGCCCTGGAACACGACCATTTGGAAAGGCTGAAGGAGGACCGGACCCACGCCCTTACCTCTCACGCCCCTCCGCTTATGCAAGCCCCAGACGCCAGGTTTCTAAGGGGCCCCTGTTCCTGTGTCTTTGGCTGCGGCTCTCTGTCTCGGCGGATCCCCAGGAACGCAGAAAATCCTCACTCTGTCCCTTTCTGCTCTTAAAGCCAGAGGCAGGAACAGCCAAGAGAAAATTTGGGACCTCCAACTACTCCCCTCTTTTCCATTACCCTGTGGCTGAGCTTGTTTTGTTTGTATCCCCCCTCTGCAGCTGTCGGGAGCAAATTCTCCAGCGAGCAAGGACCGTTACGTGCCAGTTCCTGCGGCTGGAGCACCCGCCCCGGCTCACAGCCAGCATGACGCGCCAGGTGCGAGAAGAGTGGGCCGCAGAAGCAGCGCGGTCCCCAGACCCCTCCATCGGGGGACAGCATCTTAGTAAGTGTCCGTCCACACCCTCCCGGTTTCTCCTTTGCCTCCCAGCACCTCCCCGGAGACCCCCAGCAAGGTTCAGAAGGGACCCCTGCTCCAAGGGTCCACTCGATTTCAGAGCCACTGGGTTCACACCATCTGCTTCCCTGGGCCGCTGAAAGCCTTAGCCAGCGCAGTTGCCCGACCTGCAAATCTTGGATCATGTTAAGCTGGGTTCCTGTGTTTAAACCCAGCCTGCGGGGCTATTTCACGGCTCCAAGTACTGTTCCAGGGAAACTCAGAAAAGTGGACAAATTCAGTCGCCAGGTGGTGAAACGTGCCACGTGTACTTAACTTGAGCCACAAGAGTGCCCAGGAGCATACCCAGAGCACCTTTTCTCTCGCCACGGAATCGCCTACCCTTGGGTGGCAGGATGCTTGGGGAGTTAAAAAGCGAATCACTCTCTTTTTGGGAATGAACCACAATCATCCGTTCTGTTTACGTCAAGTAGCAGGCCCTGATTTCTCACTTCTGCTTTTTCACCGCAGAACTGATCCAACTCCTGCGTCTATCCGGTTTTTGACTGAAATTCAGCCTGGGAAACATCACCTTCCAAATCAGGGTTGGGCTACCTGGGCAATTCCCAGCTGTGTGGACTTGCACTCCCAGAATTCCCTAGTCAGCACGACCACTGCAGAGAACTCTGGGAGTCGAAGTCCACATACTGTATCTGGGAATTGCCCAGAGGGGGAACCCAGAAGATGGTGGGACTGGATTTCCCAGTGCTCCCAGCCAGCCTGGCCCCTGGCTAGGAACTCTGGGAAATGCAGTCCCTGCATATCCATAGCAAAGGTGGACTGGGATGACCTACAGATGCTTGAACAGAGATTGTTCGAGAAGCAGAGGGAATCCTGGCCCGTTGGCATCTGGAACCCTCTTTCTTTTCTCCCCCTGCCTGTGCCTCGTCCTCCTCCTCCAACCTCTAGGCCAGTGTTTCTCAACCTTGGCAACCTTAAGGTGTGTGGACTTCAACTCCCAGAATTCCCCAGCCAGTCATGCACCAAATTTACCCCTTTGCTCGCACTGACCTCAGACAATGCATGATTATTCCATGGACAATCTGTGACATTGCAGCAGCTCTGTAAATTGCTTTAGCCATTCTGGGCAATAGTGTGATATGGTGCCTAAAGGAGAATATTTACCCTCGTGTGTGTGTGTGTGTGTGTTTCAAATCCTCAGGGTTATTCCTCTTTCAGAAACAATCTTTTAAATCCCTGCTGGCCTCTATGAAGACAGCCAGTGGGGTGGCTTGCTAGGGAAAAAAATCCTGCCTCTTGTTTTCTGTGCAAAAGGGTAATTTCTAATTTAACATATTTTCTATGCAATGATCACAGCTGTACACCTGTTGGTCTCCTTTCCTTCTCTTTCCATTCTTTTAGGATGCCAGCATCCGTATTTTCTCCTCTGGATCGTGTACTCCAGGGAGAATCAGAACCGCCAACCCTCTCTCTTCCAAATAATTATTCACAAATGGCTCACCTGCCTGTTCTTTCTCCCCAGATATAACCTCCAATCAGACATTGGTGATCCAAAGAGGGGGCTGCCTACAGATCTCCCAGCACATCACCCTGGATGGTAATGTTATGACGGTCCAATATGTTTAGCCAGCTTTTTTAAAAAGTGGGGGGACTTTTCTGCCAAAGCTTCATTTGTGCAAAATGTCTTTCTTCACCCCCTCTTGCTAAGATGCCTTAACCCTGGTTTGTTGCCTAAACCCTAATGGTCAGGTTGATTTATAACATAGGTTTACAATAACATGTTCATCATGCTAAGCCATGAGTTTGAGCCCCGATGGCTGAGCATTCACATACGATGCTAAGTCATGACGGTGTGTTCATCGTGCTAAGCTATAAATTGGTTGTAATGGCTGAGTTCCCCCATGGCGCTGAGCCACCATGGCTGAGACTCCACATTGCATTCAGGTAGTTTTTTAACCCTGGGTTCATGCAAATGCTACAGTGAGCAGTTTTCCCGTCGAGCTAAACTGGGATTAAAGACCAGGTTTGATGCAGTGGTAAAGATGCTGAACCAGGAGACTGTCAGCCCCAATCCTCCCTTAGGCACAGAGGCTATGATTTGGGGGAGTTAATCTCTTCCCCCCCAACTCAGAGGGTTATTTTTATGGGGAAAACTGAAGGAGGGGGCATTATGGATGAGGCTTTGAGTTGTACAAAACACAGGTGGGATGTTCATCTAATATATAAGAAAATATTCTGTAGGTGAGATGCGTGAATCCTTTTGTTCATTCTGTTTCTTTTTTTAAAATACTTTTATTAAACATCACACTTAAAAAGATGAGAATAATACAAACTAGAAGAAATAAAAGAATAAAAATTAGAAAATGCAGAGGAAAAAACAGAAAAATAGAAAGAAAAAATAAGAATATAGTAAAGAAAAAGAGATATATAAAGAAATGAATTTCCCTTTCAACACCAGTATAAACAATTTTAGTAACTTATCACCTTCTCTTAAAATGCAACACATGATCTCTTCTTCCCATATCTCACCTCTTATCTTTAAAGCCTCCTTGTTCAGTTCTGGTCAGCAAAAGTCCATTAATCCTACGTTGGATTTACAAAAAAACAAAATGTTAAAGTTTTGAAGGATTTTGTGAGAAGGGACAAAGAAAAAATGAAAAGAAATGGACTTCTAGGACAGTATTTGAAGGGATTAAAGATCAAGATTGTTAAAAGTAAAAGAAAGGAATACAAAGTTGGTTTGTCTGATCACATCTAAAATAGATACGTTGGCATCTCTTGTTCATTCTGTTTCTGGCCCTCTCTTCCTAGATCTTGGCTGGCAGAGCTGGGTGCTGAGCCCCAAGTCCTTCATCTTCACCGAATGTCTGGGGTGCCACTGCCACCGAAAGAGAGAGGAGACTCAGCTGCACTTTTGGAGCCGGGCATGTGGCCTCCAGCAGCCAAGCCATCAAGCCTATGCGGATGCCCAACAGGTAAAGTTGGGAGGGAGGTGTGGTGCAGTTCTGGGCGCAAGGATCAAGCTAGAGTTGGGACCAAAGGATTGAAACTCGGTCCAGCTGTGTGGCATTGAAGTGTTCAACTGGCACTGGGTGGCTTTGGGCTAACCATTCCCTCTTAGCCTACCTCCCAAGGTTGTTGTGGGGAGGGAAATGGGAGGGGGGAGTGCTATACACATCGCTTTGAACTCCTGATTGAAAAGCAGGCTATCGAGCTAAGAAAATAGTCTGCTTAGGAGTTGCGCTCCTATTTAGGTATGTAATTTTTTGCTGTTCTTCTTGTTCTGGCTCCAGGCAAAATAGCTGGGCAAAGCTTTCAGTAGGCACCTTGGACACCTGTTTAGTATGAAAAATGTTTAAAAGCCAGCCACCTTCCCCCCAAAGGCGCCATTATTTTATTCCTACCTCGTCTTGAAAAATACCACTTCACACCTCCCGCAGCCCTCCCAGACCGAATTAAAAATAAAATCAAAGGCAGAAGCACCCCCTTTTTGGGAAAAATAAAGTCGCCCACTCATTTTATCTATGGGGCGGGACTTCTGCATGCATTTAAAGATTCCACCAGAGTGATGAATTCAACGCATCCCCAAATTTTGGGAGTCGAACACCTTTAGGAACCTGAGTCTGCTCTGGGCGCTCTCACAAAATGACTGCTGGAGGGGTTGACAATCGTGGCTGGGGAATTCTGGGAGCTGAAGTCCACCCATCTTAAAGTGGTCCAGGTTGAGAAACGCTGCAAATCGCTTAACCAGGGCTAGTTAAACATCTAGCAGTTGCCCATCCAAGAGCAAATTAAGCTTGGTTAGTTTTCACCTGGATTAGGGGTTAGTTGGGGGGGGTCACCTCTTGGGCCAAGCCAACCTGCTTCGTGGCTTCGCAGTGCAAATCCAGCTTGTGGGGAATACAGTGGCCGAGAGAAACCTATCCAGGCTGGTCCGGGAAAGCACTGCAAATGGAGCCAGCCAGGTGTGGGGTCGGTTCAGCCCGCCTTGGCGTGCAGCCCACCAGATTCACCCCCCTTCTTTCTCTCTCCCCGCCCCAGAGACGCTGCTGTCGACCCCAAAAGACCCTGGTTCCCTTCGTGTTCCTCAAAGAGGACGGCTCCTTGAACATCCAGACGGTCCGCCTGACGCACGAGTGTCACTGCCGGCCCTGAAGCCCCCGCTCGCCCCTCGCCGAGCCCCCAGGAACCTTCAGCGCATGGGGGGTGCTGGTTGTCAGCAAGCATCACCTCTCCAGCTTTGGGGCTTGCTGATGCAGGGAGAGCATCCCTGGGGGTGGGGAACCAACCCTTTTTCTTTTCTTTTTTAAACACACAGACAGTTCCCGAGGGAGGGGAGAGCCCTTGTCCCCAGCCCCTCCATTGCAAATGCGAGCCCACCTGCACCACTATGCGAAGCGCTTTGGAAAGAGGCCTCGCAGGTGTGGGTGGCGCGAGGCATCCTGGGAGTTGTAGTTTGGCCAAGGCGGCGGGGGGGGCGGGCGTAACCCCCAGCCTCTCACTTCTTGCAAACGGGGCATGCTGTCTTGGGGTGGGATCGCTTGATCGGGTGGAAATTTCCAGCCCTTGTTCCTACGCCTTGAACAGCAGCCAAATACTAACCCAGTTCACACCCTGACAAGCCATCATTTACTAGACCATAGCTTGCTGAGCGGCTTGGGTCATCCAGCCCGCCATAAACGACAGGTGACCAAGTACTGGGGCTAAGTTCTGCACCCTCCTATCGAGCTAGAGAAAGCTACTTTTGCAACTGCTGAAAAATGACTGCTGCAGATTTCTGCTGTGAAACGCCCAGAAGTAGATCCAGGCCGGAAACCTAGAAACGCCCTCCGAGTATCAGGGTGAAATTGATTGAAATGCAGCCAAGATGCCCACTGCGTCACACTGGCAGAAGGGAAGGATGGAGTTATAAATGCCCCGTGTGGTTTTTTTGTATTTTTCACGTTGTTATCGCTCTGAATCTTCACAGATTTGCAATAAAAATGCACCAACTATTTTAATACAACTTGGCATCTTCTATTGAGAAGTGGGAGTAGAGGGTATTGCAATCACAGACAAGGGAGAGAAGAACATATAAAGCAGTGTTTCTCAACCTTAGCGACTTTAAGATATGTGGACTTCAACGCCCAGAATTCCCCAGTCAGCCATGCTGGCT